AAAAGAGTATGTAAGGAAAGGGAATGGACTAGAAATCTGTACAAATGAGATGTTATGGGCTGGGGAAAATGAATACAGGAAGTCAAAGACATAAGGAGAAATATGTGGCTATTTGGGCTATGAATAAGCCCTTGAAGTGGGTCAGGAGCAGAAGTGCTACCAGGAACAAAAGAAGATGCTGGATGGAGATAATAAAAGTGTTGATGACGCAAGGAAGGCACAAGTGTTCAATAAATCCTCCTGGTCTATACTTAGCAAGGAGCAGGAGGGGGTGTGTATAGTCCCCGTGGCTGGTGAAGCACTTTCCAGGACATTAGTAACCAAGAGGATATTTTAAACAAGAGCTCCAAGAGATAAACAGCTTTTCATCAACCGACCTCGATAATCACAGAATCACAGAAGGGTTTGGGTTGGAAAAGACCTTAAGATCATCTAGTTCCAACCTGCCTGCCATGAGCAGGGACACCACACACTAAACTATGTCACCCAAGGCTCTGTCCAGCCTGGCCTTGAACGCCTCCAGGGTTGGAGCATTCACAACTTCCTTGGGCAACCTATTCCAGTGCCTCAGCACCCTCACTGTGAAGAACTTCTTCCTTAGATCTAACCTAAAGTTCCCCTGTTTAAGTTTAAAGCCATTAACTTAAACGTAAGTTCACCCAAGAGCCCTCCGAGAGCTGGTGGAGACCTTTGGTTGTCTCTGACAGATGCCAGGAGCTGGGGAGCAGCAGAGGAATGCAGATGATGCTCCAGCACGCGTGAGGAGGTGCAAATAAGAATAGTCCACTGCACCTGCAACCACCAAAGAGGCGTTACAGGATGGAGATGGGAATGGGTGATGCCATTTCTCAGCAAATAGATCCTGTCCAACAGACATGATTGTTCCTTGCAAAGTTTAGGATGAGATGAAGGGAGGTGAGAGGGCTGTTGGACACTTACCACCTTTCCTGCTGCTTTAAAGAGGGCTTATGTGAAAGTTGGGGACAGACTTTTTGGTAGGGCCTGTAGTGATAGGACAAGGGTTGATGGTTTAAACTGAAAAAGGGGAGATTCAGACTAGTACAAGAAAGAAACGTTTTCCAATGACAAGATGATGTCGATGTGTATGGAGTGATCATGGGGACAAGGAGATGCCCATGAGTCCAGAGGAGGCCCTGGAGCTGCTGCGAGGGCTGGAGCAGCTCTGCTCTGGAGCCAGGCTGAGAGAGCTGGGCTGGGGCAGCTGGAGAAGAGAAGGCTCCTCAAGGGGACACCTTAGAGCAGCCCCAGTGCCTAAAGGGGCTCCAGGAAACCTGGAGAGGGGCTTGGGACAAGGGATGTAGGGACAGGCCAAGGGGAATGGCTTGAACCTGCCAGAAGGGAGATTGAGATGAGCTCTGAGGCAGAAGCTCTTCCCTGTGAGGGTGCTGAGGCGCTGGCACAGGGTGCCCAGAGGAGCTGTGGCTGCCCCATCCCTGGCAGTGTTCAAGGGCAGGTTGGACACAGGGGCTTGGAGCAACCTGCTCTAGTGGAAGGGGTCCCTGCCCGGGGCAGGGGTTGGACCTGGATGAGCTTTAAGGTCCCTTCCAGCACAAACCAGTCTGCGGCTCTATGACGACTTTAAACATAGTACTTAACACTGGGCTGGGGAATGAAGTAAGTCTAATTCAAGACACTGGTCTCGGGACTATCTAAATTATCTGCAAAACTAAGTCTTGGTGGGTGGATGGAGACAGGAGCATGGGTGTACATGGGTGTATGAGACTCATTCCAGCAGGACACAACCTTGGGCCAGAGCCCCATGCCCTGTTTTGGGCTCTGCATTTCAGGAAAGACAGATTCCAGAGCAGAGCTACAAGAAGGAGCAAAGGACCAGAAATTTCTAACATCAAGAAAGACTGAGAATAAACTCAGGTTAAACTGAGTTTAAACCCTGTAAAACTTAAACCTTAAACCATATCAAAGAGAACAGAGATGGGAGCTGATGGCATCTTCAGAGGAAAGGAGTCTGCTCTTCACACCTGCAGTGGTGAGGATGAGAAGGCATGAGCTTGAGCTGCTGGAAGACTGAACATTGGGAAAAGTCTTCTGTTAGGAAGGGGTTTGTGGCTCTGGAAGAGATTAGATGGGATGTAGACTCTCCATGGCAGGAGATCTTCAAGCAAATGATGGAAGAGCATGGGGATGGCTGGTCTGTGGTGTGGGGAATACCAGCATGGTGAAACTGGGGCTTGCTGAAGGTTCCAGAGCTGCAGGCTTTCAGGATCGAAATGAATAGTTTGATCAATGTCTAATCATCAGCCTGGCAGACGAAATGTGGGAAAGGGATCCATAGGGATGCTGCACCTCCCATAGAGCCCAGGTCTCCAACAAGGCAGGAGTCAACCACAGAGACTCCAAACCATGCTGGTCCCTCTCTGATCCTACCTGTTCCTTTGTTGTCTTTGGTCCCCATGATAATTCCTGCTCTAAACCATCACAAAGTCACTTTCCAAAGTCACTGAGGTGTTCAGACCCCTAAAACCATGGGAAATCCCCATTGCAGCTCATCTAGGGCTGGTTGCACCCCACCAGCAAGCTGGGTATGGTTTTCAGCCTGGTGCTGGCGCTGGTTTCTCCTCTCAACTCCAGCCTTGAGGAGGAAACTGTCCCAGCACAGGAACGGAAGAGGCCACGTAGGTACCATAAGCCCATACAAAGGCAGATGGACGGGCTCCAGGCATGACTTGCAGCCTCCTTTCTCCACACACGTTGCTCTGTTGGTAGAGTGATGGACCATGGAGAGGTGGAATCCATATGTGCCTGAGCTCATGCTCTTTCCCAATAGTAACACTTTGCTCTGCCAAGCAAAAGAGCTGTGTTGGCCTCGGGGACAAGGGCCTCCCCTGTCCTTGGCTGGCAGGGCTCAGGAGCTCCGTGCAGACATGAAGCTTTTGGCCTCAGAAGGTGGCGAGAAGGTTTTGGGTGGCAACCTCTGCCAAGGAGCAAGGAGAGGAAACGGTGGGGCCCAGACAGTGCAGGCTCAGAGTGTCCTCCAGCCACAAGGTGCCATTGTGCTGGGACAGGGGGGGAGGACGGGGAGAGGGGCGCTGGGGAGGATGGAGGATGGCAGGGGGAGCATGGAGACGTGGTGGCAGCCAGGGCTCCATCTCTGACTGCTATCCACGTGTTCTACCATTGGCAGCTCGAAGAGGCAGCCACAGGAGGGCTGAGGTCTCCTTAGGAGTGAGGTGAGACAGGAACATACCCAGGAGACCACTATTTGCCTACACATGTCCAGAAGACATGGGCTGGGGGGGACAACGTATCCATAAGTAGAGTGTGATCAACCTCAAGTGCTCAAGGCACAGCTTTTTGCAAGGGGTAGAGTACGTCCAATGGAGACTCAGGGTTGGGCCACTGTGATGCATTCCCATGCCCAGCAGAAACACACCACAAATATCTACCAAGTGTCCCTATCAGAGATTAGTTCCTCTGGTCCATAAGAGTGTTGCAAAGCTAAAGGCGTGGGGAGAGAACAAGGGATTGGTCATTGACAGTGTATTTTCTGTCTGGAGGACACACCAACAGGAGCATCCAAATCCACCCATCCAAAAACTGAGCTGGGGCCAATTCACCCTCTCTGTGTGCACCTTTGCAGCAGCTCTGCAAGCTTTGCTCCAGCAGTGAGCAAGAAAAGAGTGACCAGAACATCATTTTGTTTTGCTTTCCATGTGCATTTGGCATGAAAGCCAGAGCAGGTTTGGAGAAGAACCCATGGCCCTTGTTTGCCCGTGTGCGGTACCTCTGGATGGTGTTACAGCTCGTGGTGGCACACACTGGGGCCAGAAGTGGTTTCCAGCCCTGACCTACATGCAACTGACAGCAAAAGAGTGCAGAAGGGTGGAGGTGGAGGAGCCAGCCTGCTGTCAGCAGGTTTGCACTCACCACATGAGGTCTGGAGCACCACTAGAAACGCCTGAAAACGTGAACAAAGCTTGGAAAGCACCACATTTCCACACACCTCCTCCATTGGTTCGGTTTCAGTACTCACCTTTAATCAGCTTCCAGTTGTAGATCTCCACCTCTTCTGCAGGCTCCTTCTCGACTGCGATCGTCCTGAGGATCTCCTTGGAGGACTCGGAGCTGGGTGGCACAAACATGTACACCAGGACGCGGCTGGGGTTCTTGCCACAGAGAGTGGTGCCTGTCTCATCAGTGGGTTTGACTTTGGTTTCTGGGCAAGAACAAGGACAGGGTTCATTAAACGGGGCAGGAGGGAGCTTGGAGGAGCCATCTCAGCACCCAGGGCAAGGGAAAGGCTTCTCGTTGGGTTTGATGCCATGTGGAACAGTGTGTCTCAGAATGGACCTTGGCTCTCAGGGTCTGATTCCCAATACTGGGATCTGCAGCAAAGGGAGATGTTGATAAAGGATCTATGGATCTGCTCATCCCCATATTTTCCATTCCCTTTGATTCTGGCATCCTCTGTGCCAGCAGGGATGGAAAAGGAGGATTTTCCCCACCTGCATCCCCCATACCCACTGCTGGGACCTTGGTGTCATCACCACTGCAAAGCTCAAGCATCTTGTTGGGCTTCTCACCTGCAGAAAGAGAAAGGCATCTTGTTGCGTTTGATGCCATGTGGGACAGTGTGTCTCTGAATGGACCTTGGCTCCCAGGGTTTGATTCCCAGTGCCAAGATCTGCAGCAAGGGGAGATGTTGATAAAGGATCCATGGATCTGCTCAGCCCCATTCCCCTTGATTTTGGCATCCTTTGTGCCAACAGGGATGGGGAGGGGGCATTTTCCCCACCTGCACCCCCCATACCCACTGCAAGGACTTTGGTGCCATCACCACCACAAAGCCCAGGCTGGATTCCCTGCTCCCCATTTCACTCCTGCTGCCATCCCAGCGGAGCAATGCCAGCAACACGCAGGGATGAGCCTGCAGCACAGGAGCCAGCACCGTGCCTGGGCATCGTGCCCGGCTCAGCCCCAGCCCAAATCCTCACCCCACATGGGGTACAACAGCGGGGAGACCCTCAGCAGGGGCATCAGCAGGACCCTACGTGACTCTTTCAGCATCCTTGCTAAAGCAGAGCTGCTGATTGTTTCATGCTTTTCATGTATCTGGAGTAATTAAGAATCCCCCCTGGGTTTGGGAGGAGATTTATTGCCTTTGGTTGTGGTCCTTGGAACGCAGAGGAGCTCAGCTCTGCTGAATTTAGCCTTGTTCTCCCCGTCCTTTTGGATGCTGGAGCTTTTTTACACTACTCGAAAGAAAGTTTGGCTATAAATATATGCCTGGGGGTTATTTTAGTAGGACAGTTATTCTAGGCCTCATTCTCTGCTTTCTGGTGTGGTCCTGAGCTGCTCTGCTCAGAGAGGGGATGGAAATCCCACTTTAAAGGGGTGCAGAGCAGGGCTTTTTCACATGGGAAGACAAGCATTCAGCTCTGCAGGCTCAGCGTGATGCGATGGGGGACAACCACAACCCACCATCCTCATCCCTGCCACTGCGGGGTCCGGATGCAGGAAAACCTCCATCTAGGCCATTAAACTTCACTCACTCCATGGTTGCTTTTTGCTTCACTTGAAGAAGCCTCACCTTCACAACAGGGAAGGAACTACATGTCATTGCAGGTACAACAGGTATTTAACATCCTTGGAGCTTCACTCCTGATGGCCACCAGTGTTTGGGAGGAGAAGCAGGGACACAGAGGTCCCAGCCACTACTTCTGCCACCAGCAGCCACTATGGTCTCCCCATCCAGTCAGTGCATCACAGTATTGGGGTCCCATTCAAACAGGACCTCTTTTGCAAACAGAAATCACTGTTTGTCCCCAAGTACTGAGAACAAAGGAGGAAGAGGAGGAAAGTCAAGGAAACTGCCTGGAAAAAGAAGATGGGTGAAACCTCCGTGCAGCAAAGCAAAGGACAAGCATGAGACTTGGCTGAGCCATGTGCATGTGTGTGAGATTGCTATCTGGGAGTACTGGAAAGCAAGGAGAAAGTCGTTTTGGCTGGGTCAGAGTGTTTAACTGGAAATAAATGAAGACTGAGCAGACAAGAGATCCCAGCAGAGAAAGTTGTAGACTTGAAAGCAGAAAGAGCCACTATAATGAGAATGCGAGACTGGAAGGGCTCTGCTCAGTCATCATATCCCATTCCCACCAGGCACCACATCATAAATCCTGCTCATAAACACATCAGAAACCTTATTAAAACAAGCTGAGCTTCTGCCCTTCGCTCTCCCACAACATCCCTGCTCAGAGGCTGGAAAACCTGGAAAATCCCACTTCTCAGCCTGTTTGCCCCCATTCTAAAGTGTGGTGATGCCCTTTGCTTGTTCTGCCCGGGGACACCCCTCCACGAAACCACCTTGAAGATGCACATCAGAGGAGATCAGTCAGAAAGAGCTGCATCTGCAGAGATGCTCAGGCATCTTTAGCCTCTCCAGGGAAGCACTGGGTGGTCCATCAGCTAAATATCTACTGCTGAATGACAGTGATGTTCTCCAGTGGGAACAGGAGATCTCCTGCCCTGCCCCGTCTTGGCCAGGTCCGTGGTTCAAGGTAAACAGCTTTCCAAAGACCAAGAAGCAGCCAAGAAACCCAAACCCCATTGACTGAAAAAACGAGGTCCTCTCCACCATGTCCCAGCACCAGCCCAGCTCTACCTGGAGCACCCCAATAGCTGTGTTTCTAACCCTCCCCTTCCAGGGATGGGGAATTCAACTCCTGTTTGATCAAACCATGAGTGCCACAGGTAACCCCACACTTGGGAAGTGTCCTCCCAACTTCAAACCTACATTTCAGCTGCCACAATTTAACCCTATCACTTCTTGTCCCAGCTGGAGGTCTGGAGAGCAGACCCCCTCCCTGGAAAGCATCTTCTATCTGTCTGAAGACTCTTACCATGTCCCTCCCTGGGCATCTTTCTCCAGACTACAGACACCCGACAGATGCAGACTTATGGTTTCAGTGCATCTTCCTCACCTTGGCTCAATCCCGCTGCCCTCCAAGACAGGCCAACCCTTGCATTGGTTCTTACCCTGCTGAACTGGTGTCAATTCAAGTCACCAGTGATAGGAACACATCTCCCTGGGGCTTTAAACCAAGGTTAAAGGAAGGATCTAGATGGTACCAGCAGGAGAAGGTGGGATCTCACCTACCTGGACATACTTTACAGCACTTCCCATCTGCTTTCTCCGGATGCTCACACGGATACTCCTTGGGGCAGGTGATCTTCTGGCAGTCCTGGACACCATCCCTGCAAGTGCAGAGGATGCAGGGCAGGAGGCCATAGAGCCGGAAGACAGGATGCCACACTTCCCCATGGGAATAGGTCTTCCCATTGTACACACAAGCTGGAGAAGAGAGAGAAAAGAGCGGAAATCAATCCTCCTCTTTGTCCACCCAATGCTTGGTGGAGCCCAACACATTTCACACCTCAGAAACGGGTGGTCCTGCTCTCTTGAGGAGCATGGTCCTCTGGCAGCACATCCAGCAGTAGACAAGGGGATACTGCAGCCACCCCACTCAGGAGGTGCCATGGGACATGTAGACGAGGCCCTCAGCAACATGGGTTAGTGGTGGCCTTGGCAGTGCTGGGGAACAGTTGGACTTGATGAGATTAAAGGTCTTTTCCCCACCTGGCTGATTCCATGACTCTATGGGGCAGGAGACCAGGCTCCACGAGATGGAGGCTGCTGGGGACAACCTCCCTGGTGGGGTGAGTGTGGACAGGACCTCACCAGCCTCCAAGCCTCTGAAGCCCAGGGTCCCTTCGAGGCTGTCCCAGGCATGAAGCACAGTGAAGAGTGCCACCTGCTGACTCCTCCATGAACACATTTGGAGGTCCCAGAATTTCCTCCTGGGCTTCATCTCCAAGGACTGGAAAGAGCCTTTTGGAGACACAGCAGTGGGAGAGCCCACAGCAGGAGAAATTACATGTCTTTTCCCCTCTGCATCCATGGGGTTGCCTCCTCATCATCTCTTCCTCCATGAGGGTTACCGCCTCATCTCACTTGCTCTCCTCCAGGAGGAAGACCACAGCACTGGGATAGACCCAGCACATGGAGGAACAGCCCGTCCCTCTGCAGCACTGTCCTGGAAGGACGACGTGGAATCTTCCAGCTAAGCACCTCCCTTCCCAGGTCCCAGATCTCCAAAACACCCCAAGGACCAATCTTCTCCCAACCCTTTGTTGGAAAGCAGGAGATTAGAATCATAGAATCATAGAATGGTTTGGGTTGGAACGGACCTTAAGATCATCCAGTTCCAGCCCCCTGCCATGGGCAGGGACACCACACACTAAACCATGTCACCCAAGACTCTGTCCAACCTGGCCTTGAACACGCCATCAAAATGCTGTGGGCCACCAGGGCTGAGACAGCTGGGTGAGGATGGCTGTAGAGCAGTGGGAAGTAGGACTTGGTGGTAGAAACCTGCTGCTGAAACAGATTCCTTGGAGAATTCAATGTCCTGGAGAAGCCACCTTAGGCCACGTTCAGACTGCCCGTCCCCTTCATCCCTCACCTTTCTTGTGCTTCTCTTTCAAGACGATCTTCACGGTGGTGCCACCTCCTCCCTTGGGTTTGAAGCTCCTGGGGATGAACTCCAGGGAAGAGCTGAGGACAGTGGCCACGGTGGCTCCGGGTGGCTTCCTGCCCAAGGCCTCCCCTGAGCACTGGTCTTGTGAGTGTCTCTGTGAACAGTGAGAGGAAAGAAGAGGACTCAGACCCAGGCAGTTGGGTTGTTCTTACTCCAAAGCCATGCAGTGTCCTACACACCTTCCTTTGGGAGAGGAAGATCCAGAGACAGGGATGAGCAATGCCCCAGCTTGCTGCAACCACCTAAGGAGTGCTGAGCAGTGTCAGTGCTCCACATTGGTGTCCTCCCTGTGCTGCATGTTGGTCACCCTCATTGGACCAGCAACCCAATGCCCTCAGAGAAGCGAGTGAGGTCCTACATCACTAGCACAGGAAGGGAAATGGGATGGTCTTTCCTAGATGCTCGCTAGGAAACTGAGGAATGGGATCCGTGCTATCCAAACAGGACCAGAGAGGTAAAGATGGACCATATCCTGCCTTCTCACCTGGCAGCACCAGGAGGGTTGGTGTGGCACCAACAGGACTGGAATCCCAAAGAACATCCCAGGCTTCCAAGAGCAAACTGCTGGGACAAGACAAGCAACACAAAGGGTCCCCTTGTGTCTGTTTTGGAGGGTTTAGAGGCAGTTGAGATGTGATGCTGGTGTTGCACCCAGCAGTATGGAGAAGAGCAGGGCCAGGAACTGTGATTTAATCCCACAGATGTGCCATGGGCTGCTCAGCTCTGAAATGCCATCAGGAATCAACCCTTGGAGCCAAGGAGTTACGTTTTCCTTGCTGGAGCTGCCGATACAAACAGGCACCGGCTGCTCTGTGACTGGGAGACAGGACACCCTTGAGACCAGGGTGGAGAGAAGACACCATCTCCTGAAGCAAAAGCACCCAAAGAGAGATTTAGGCCATCTGACTATGGGTGTGGATCATGTCTGGCTGTTGGTCACCTCTGAGTCTGCTTTGTCCATGTTCCTCAGTTGCTTTAACCTCAACTTCTCAGCAAGGAGAAATGCCCAGGGTTTCCAGTTCCAGGTCTTTTGTTCTTCCAAAGACATTGGAGATGCTTCAGAGGAAGAGGACAAGACTCTTTGCTTGGTGGTCTGAGGTCTCAGCCTATGCTGACAGTCCTCACCTAGAGTCCATTCCAAGACAGGATTCATCTGCAAACCAGGGGCCAGTGATTCTACCTTCTAGAGCTGCTCTGGGTCATTCCTTTGTAGAAGACTATGGGCAAGGGCAAGTGTCTTTCTTTGAGCTGTGTAACAGGGGTGTGCTGGGAGCAAGAACCTGAGGTTTAAAATGCAAACGTCACGTACAACACCTCTGTTTAACTGCGGGGGCTCCTCTTCTGTGGACTTCTCATGTGAGCCATCTGCAAGGGAAAAACATTGTCCTGTGAAAAGCTGTGGGGCTGGGTGAAGATCTGCTCCCTCTTTGACTGAAAGCAGCTCTCTTCATGGTGCTGTGAGTGGAGAGGAGCTTTGAATTCCCATCACCCAAAGCAAATGGGAGACATACCCCAAAAACCCTGTTATCCCCATTATTAACAACAGCGCAGATCCAAGAAGGACATGACCTTGTAGCTTCTGAAGGTAGGTGGCATGAAAACACCCCAGAGATAGAGTATGAGGTGATGGAGATAGAGTCATAGAATCATGGAATGGTTTGTGTTGGAAGGGACCTTAAAGCTCCTCCAGCTCCAACCCCTGCCCCGGGCAGGGACACCTTCCACTAGAGCAGGTTGCTCCAAGCCCCTGTGTCCAACCTGGCCTTGAACACTGCCAGGGATGGGGCAGCCACAGCTTCTCTGGGCACCCTGTGCCAGCGCCTCAGCACCCTCCCAGGGAAGAGCTTCTGCCTCAGAGCTCATCTCAATTTCCCCTCTGGCAGGTTAAAGCCAATCCCCCTTGCAGGGGTTTGGGCCAGAAGACAAACTGGAGACACAGAAACCAGCTTCTGTCCAGGAAAGAGCTTCTGCCTTAGATCTAACCTGAACTTCCCCTGTTTCAGTTTGAACCCGTCATCCCTTGTCCTGTCACTCCAGTCCCTGATGAAGGGATCCGTGCTGCCCCCTTCAGACACTGAAAGCTGCTCTGAGGTCTCTGGCTATAAAGAAATCCAAAGACGTTTCTCACCAAGTCAAGGACATGTCTCAGCTGCACCAAAGAAAGCTAAGAGAGGGGAACACAAACTGCAGAAGGGAAGACTTTGGAAAGAGCTCAGTCTGTGCCCATGGCCAGGAGACCACCACGATCTTCCAGTAAGGAGTCATTCTGTGCTGTGACTTCACTGTCAGCAGGGAGTGAACCTGCCCATGTGTCTGTCTCATCTGGAGACATGGAGCTTGATGCTCTCCTCACTCTCCAGGAATGAGTCAGGGGAAACAGCAGCAAACTCAAGAGTTTCTCCTCCGCGGAGGGCTGTGGAAGTGACACTCAGCCGTGCTGCACTGGGGTCGAAGGGGGAGTTCCTTGACTGTCCTGGAAACTTCCATAGACTTTTCCATCACCTCCATTTATTCTATACAACCATCTCCATCCTGGCTGGAGGACTTTGCCTCCGTGCAGGTCACATCTTTCTGCACAACACACCAGTGGCAGGGCAAAGAGCTCAGCTCTAGCCAGTGTATGGGCTGCATGGAGGCAGGACACAACTAGATGTGGAAGGGAAGCATGCAAGGAAAGAACCAGGCCCTGGTGCAACCAAGACATAGGAACTGCTCCGATTTACAGCACAGGCTTCCCAAATCCTGCGAAAGTGGCTTCAAGTGGCTCCTGCCAGATGGTGGCAACTATCTGGGGTCTTCCAACCATCACTTAGTAGCAGCTCCTGGGCCCTTCATTACCTTTGCAGACCTGGCCGCCGGGGTCCGGCACGGTGAGGGGAGAGGAACACAACAGCTCCGGGCAGGTCACCAAGCCACAGTAGATCTGGCCATCCTAGGAAGCAGGAGGAACAAAGAGCATCATCAGCATTATAAAGAGATGGAGAGAGCTGTATGTCCCATGTGTTGGGGTGTCAGATCTATCTTAAATCAAAAGCCACCCAATAGTCCATCCTCAGACATCACCAATCATCTATCAGCTGATGAAAGCTGAAGATGCGTCCATGCAATCTCCATCCTGTGGGGTGTAACATTCCTCTCCTGGAATGGCTGGTCCACATGCCCATGAGTGGGGTGGTCTTCCCCAAAAGGAGGAGGCAGTGCCTTCCTCTCAAGCATCATTAGTGCTACCACGTTGAAATGGCCACCACACACTTGTAAACACCCACCAGCTCAAACAGGGACAAGAACCTTTTCTCTGCCATGTCCCAGGACAGGGACCTGGAGGATACAGGTGGAAAGGGAGAGTGTGATGATGCTGAAGCCAGACCCAGCTCCACAGATCTGCCCTCCCTCTTGGATTATTTGATAGCACCAGAGCCAAGCACACAAAGACACCGGATCAAGAGCTATGGATGAACGTCCAGGTGTGGACCTTCTTCCACTGGCTTGGTGGTTAGTCTGGAAAACATCAGTCCCGTAGTCATTCAAGCTGAAAACCACACGTCAAGGCCAGTCTTGACCTTAGTGCATCCCAATCCCACTTCAGCCAATGGATTTGCACTTGTTTGCCACAGGACCAAGGCTTTGCTGCTTTGCAGAAGGGTAAAATGGGATGTTCAGCAGCCCAGCAGCAGCCAGACCTCAACAGCAAGGTCCTCTTCTCCATGCACCAGGTATCCACATGCTCTCAGTCAACCAAACCCAAGAGGTTAACCAAGGATACCCAATGAAAACCAAACCACAGCAGCTTCTTCTGCCTCCAGGAAGCCAAATTGCTGTGAAAGGGATGTGAAGAGAAGGAAGAAGGTTTGGTCAATGAGAGGATCTGGTGGAGGATGCTGCAACCCAAACCCTGCTTCTGCTTCAGGGACCATCATGGGATCCAGACCTGCAGGGAGCAGGGTCTGGCCACACAGCCTCTTCCTTCCTTCTCCTGTGGAGCAGCAGCTCATGGCAAAGACCTGCTCCGGGCAGGAAAGAGCAAGTGTGATAAAAAGTAGGATTTATCCCAGCAGATCTGGTCTCTGGGAGGTCTCAGGGAGGTTTAGACCAGCTGTTCACGCAGCTGTTCCAGCAGCTGAGCACATCAGACACAGCCTCTGCACTGCTCCATCCCTTTATTTTCCTCCTCGTATCCAAGGCATTATCCTGTTGGATAAACAGAGCCTGAGGGAGAGCCAGTGCCTCCGACAGAGACACAGAGCTCCTGGGGATGGTGGCGGAAGGGATGGGATGGGATGGGATGGGATGGGATGGGATGGGATGGGATTGGAAAGCAGGGCCAGGTGGGCACATACAGTTGGATTCAAGGGCTCCTTCCTGGTGTTAGTCCCTAGGTGGTGGGCTGGCATCCAGCTGAGGTCCATACAAGAGGAACCAGCCCCAAAAGCTGTATGACTGCTATATCTAAGCTATTCCTTCTGCCACCTCACCCCGAGGTGTGCGCAAGCACCAAGGGCTCAGGCCAGCTTTACACATACTTTACTATCAAGCTGATGGTAACCACAGTGTGTGTGCTCTTGGCATGAGAGAGGGAGGTGATTTGGGCTTTCTCACTCCTCTTTCTTTCCTGGCCAAGCTTAGGCCAATTACTTGCTGGAAGCAAAGCACAGACCAGTGGAGCCTGGTCCCATCCAAAGGCTCTGTATGATGCATGGGGAAAGCCACGTCTGCAACCCCCTGTTATGGCAGCCCGTCTGCACCCCCCTGTTATGGCAGAGGCTTGCAGCCAGCATGAGCAGTTCCTGCCAGCATCCAAGCCCAGCATCGGCACTTTCAATCCCCCTTCCTTGCTCCCTATCCAGGAGGAGGAGCTGCTCCATTTATCTGCTGACACTCAGCTCCTGGCAGGCACGGCCCCACGCTCCACACA